ATACGAGGTCTGTAAGAAACAATGGTAAGCAAAAAGAGAAAACTTTGGTGAATTTAACTATCGCCTTTAGAAACAATAGTTTACTTGTGTTTCAAAAAGTGGTGACCACTTTATTAGAGGTCTGGGTTTAAGAAAAGAACAGTCTGCTGATATACAATAAAGGCAAAGCTATTCCAACTAAGTCTTCCTCCCCCGTGGAGTTGCAGGCTAAAACAAAACTTGTTACAGACTTGTTCCCTGAAACATTAAGCTGGAAAATTACCTGACAGTTACTTGGAAGTAGGTTTTACCCTCATTGGTATCGAGAGACAGTATAATTCTCTAAAAATGGTGTTTTCCCTTTATTAGATGAAAATAATCTCCAGGAGTGGAACTGGAACATGGAATTTTCTCCTCTAGAATTTAGAGTCTCCTGTTTTTAGGGGGGTGGATAGGCGGGGAGACCTTGAAAGTTTACCTCGCCCCTTCCACGCTGAGAGATTCCTTTAATGTGTAGCGCTGCTAACTCCAAGGCAGGCAGAGTCAGCGCCATCCCCGACATCCGCGCATCTGTTTAGTTATAGACTCAGTTTCCCTTGCAGGCAGAAGTGGCCAGGTGTAATGTTCGTGCAAACACCAGTGGGAGTGAAAAGCTATCCTCAGGCAGTGTCCGGAGCTCAAGCAGTCATCCTGGACGCGGAGATGGTACGCTCAGCCAGCAGAAGGCCAGCCCTAGATGATCCAGCAGAACTACTACCAGAACTACTTGGATTACCTGCCCTTCGACTCTTCTCTTAAAAAAGGAAAATTCATTTAAACCACATTTTTTCATTCCAAACACACAGCCAAACCTAATCCTGATCATACAGCATGCCAAAATATATTTAGAAGCATGAAAACAGACATATGGCAGCATCCCACAGACAGTTTTGGCCTGATAGTGCCTATGAGTTGGAAAGACAGGTGTTGAGAGAAAAGGGGGTGAGTTTTCTCTTTACACTTTAAAGCCTCAAACAAGTTAGACAGAGAGACATATATGAGTGGTGTGTTTGTGCTCATCCTAAATATTGTCTCCCATGCATTAGTCTTGAGAGGAGATACTCTTTTCCAACACTTAAGTCCACCCTCCACAGACTGGTAAACATTCTTCCAGAATAGTTCTTGAAAATGAATGGGTAACAAAAAGCTCCTGACGCCCACACCACAAGTTCCTGAGCCTCCACCGACTCCTACGGAGATTCTGATTCATTCACGTCCAAGGTGGGGCACAGGTTCTTAACCAGTTAAGCAACAGCAGCTGTTGTTAACCTTGGCTACACATTGCAGTCATCTATGGAGTTTTCCAAAATAATGACGCCTGGGTCTCACCCCTAATCCCCACCCCGGGCCTGGGGTAGGGGGGATTCTAATGCAAAAGGTCTGGGGAAGTTCTAATATAATTAACAACACCCCCCACCCCCCGCCCTTAAGGTACGGATCAGAGAAAGCTGTCTTTTACAGAAAACTGTCAACTAATAAATGTAAAAGGAGACATTACGATATACCATACATGATTTGGGCAAATGTCAGCAATGGACATTAAACCCACTGGGTGAAAGACTTGGGAAGCAGGATACTCACACAGTCTCAAAGTACTGCTGGTTACTTCTTAATCACAACTGGGAAAGGTATTTTTACAGTGGAGAAATCAAACAGGCCTGGCCTTAATCATATGATCAAACTTAACATGACCAATAATGACACACGCTGACACCACTTGCTTCCCAATGTGACAAGATATTCCAATAAAAGGTATGATGTGAGCCCAATCTGAGGCAGCCAATAAATCCAAATGGGGAACATTCTATAAAACCACTAGCCTGGATTTGTCAATACCATAAGAAAGGGGGGAAGAAGGGGTGCAGTGCTGTTTAAAAAGGAGGCAAAAGACAATACAACCAAATGCAAGGTCCTTGATTGGGTTCTTTACTGAAAAGATACAGAGAGGACATTATTGGGGTAACTGGAAATTTAAACATGGGCTACATGTTAAATAACAGTGTTGTGCCAAATTTCTGAAGAGTGATGAGATTGTGATTAACACCAAGGTGAATGTCCTTAAGGAGAAAAGCTGACAGTAGTGCAATGTTCTCATTAATAACAAACTATAATTACAAAGTTTGTAAAAATATATACCAAATATCCAAGAGAGGACTGTCCACCTTTGTACTTGTGAGAGGAAAAGGCAATTGTTGAGCACCCCTTTTTAAAACCCACAAAAGCAAAGATTTCTTCCCATTTTGAAGAAAAAGGTAGATTACAAAAATATGTCTCCTTTCCACTTTTAAGTTCTATGGATAATTCCTGACATTCTTTGAGGTCTAAGATGGAGAGAGAGATGAAGTTACCAGTAGGTTAAAATCTATAGAAAAATTGCAAGATCAAACTCATCTTCAGCAAAAAAATGCCCTTTCCAGCTAGGTAGACAGATTTGCCCTTTTTCTTAGCATTTAATGTTTTAGGGGGTACCCGGTACACCAAATGTAGTTGGAGATGTCCTGTTTGACGTTGGGGTTCCACGTAATCACTGCCTAGAATACGTGAAGAGCACAATGCCCACTGGAATTTCGCAGAGAGCATGGACTGCTAAGACTGCCCACATTTTACCCCTTTGAGAATGAGGATGTCGTTTTCCTGCCCTGGAAACCACCAGGCATTGGCGTCTGAGCTGTTGCCCTCGAAGTGTTTCTACCTTTCCTGCTGGCAGCTTCTGCACCTTTTCCTGTTCTCATTGGCTGCCTCTAATTGCACATACTTGTTTTAAAATCTCAGGAGAACCAAAGACCACCTAATTGCAGTGAGATCCTCCTCGGGTCTACTCCTGGCTCAGTCATTAAAGATCATTAGGCCAGTGTGGCTCAGTTGGTTGTCATCCCAGAAACCAAAAGGTTGCCAGTTTGATTTCCACTCAGGGTGCATGCAGGAGGCAACCGATCAGTGTTTTTCTCTCTCTCTCCCTCTCCTTTCCTCTCTCTCTAAAAAAAATCAGTAAAATAAAAGAGACCCTTGACCTCCTCCTCCCATTCTTAAAATAAATTGCTATTTATTTAAGCCACTTAGACGTTTAAAATTGTAAAAGTGCTTCAGAAGTTCTTAATATGATCTCCCTTCGCTTAAAACAATAAATTTTTTAACATAGAAACCCAATACACAGAACTGTATAATCTGAAAACTGAATAAACCCAGAGAATATTCGTATCTTTTACTTGAATATTTAAAAACTAGAGACCTAACAACTCAATTCAGGAATTTTGATGATGTCCACGAATGTTCTGATGTGTTGCCACTCATGACGCGAGAGGCTTCAGTGACTGAAACATGACATGCAACCAGCAGAGAGGGAGAGAAAAGATTTGAAGTGACACCTCACCTCACAAACTGGGAAGTGAGGAGCAGAGAAGTGACCTGCCCAAAGAGAAAGCTAGGCGATGGCAGCTAGCAGAAAGGTAGGTTAGATGAGCGCTTCTACAGCACAGAAGATGTCATTTTACACAAAACTATCAGGACACATCTGCCCTAACCTCAGTCTATGACAAAGGCACCTGTTTGTAAGAGAGATACTAGGAGGCATTTAGAGGCTAGGTCCTTAAACTCTCAGATTCCTATTTTAGGCTCACTTTTACTCTCTCCTCAAACTTTTTATATTACTGAAGTCTTTAAAAACCAAAAATGTTTGACCTAAAAAAGAAAGTCTTTAGAGATTATTCACCTAGTTCAGTTTGTCCACTGTGCAGGTGAGAAAGCAAAGAGGAGGCTGACCTATGACACAAACCTAGGGCAGAGCTGGGCTCTCACCTCCAGGGCTCCTTCCACCTGCCCCCGTAGCGTCAAGGTGCAAACACATGGGCTGCCTCACGTGACTAGCTGTAGGGGAAGAGATGAGTCTATTCACACCCGACGTGGAGCCGGACTTCTGAGGCCTGGCCTTAGATTAATGGGCTTTGTCATGCGGTTTCCAGGCCCAAACCCGTTGCAGTGGCAGATGAGTTGCAGGGGAGATACAAATGCTGCTAACAGTAAAGGCAGAAACACACCCTAGAAAGAGGGCGAAAGCTAAGCACACCCAACAGTGTGGTGGTTTCAGGGACAGGCAGGGGAAATTCTCATTCTTAAAGGGATAAAATATGGACAGTCTCAGTGACCTGTGTGCTCAGTACAATTCCAGTGGCGCTTTCCCCTACACATATTCTAGGCGGGTGAAATGGAACCAACCCCCAGCCTATTCCACCCGGACATTTCCCTAAACTGGCACAGGAGGTACCACTCACAATGTTGAATGATAAGAGAATCAAACAGAAGGGAGAGATGTAAAAACAAAGGCATGAAGGAAGATTCTAGAATGTTCATTTTATTTCACATGACCGTCTACCCCCAATTATCAGTGATAGCATAAATGACTTACGAACTACTTTCAAAAAGAATTATTGGACAAGGTGTCTACTATGCTGCAATCATTTTCATACTATCCCTGGTCGTCTCTATTTCTGACCTCAGGAAAGATGTTATTCTTAAAAAGCAAATATAAAAAGGTTTATTAATAACCTGTTTACAAAATAAAAGCTATTTAACATTGGCACACAAACACATGCACAAAAGTATGTGAGTTCATAGTTTCAAAAAGTACAAACAATCCATGAGAATAAAAAGCATGTCCAGTTTTTACTGACCTTTCAAAGCAGTTAACTTTCAGGTGAAGTTAAAGATGAAGGAAGCCTTTAAAAATCCTTTTCTTCAATATTTAAAACTTTTGACCTTTGAAAACACATGTTGACAACTCTATCACCCCAAAACACCAAAAGTAATAACTCCCGTGTCTACAAAGGGGCCAAAAAGCATGTGCTGGCTCTAAACTAATTCCAGATCACATGGCAACCAGGTTTTATATTAGGATTTCCCCCAGAAAACATCACACGTCACACTACTCGAAGGTAACAGCCTGTGTCCCGCTCAACCATGAAGAAAGCCAAGGCACATCATCTTACCTCAAACTGGGGGTACGGAGGAGTCATGGCTGACGGGGGCCCTGAGGTGGGAGGTGGCATCCCTGAAGTGGGTGGGAACAGACCCAAGGCATTTAGATTTAATCCAGGAATTAAATGTGCTTGAAGCTGCAATGGTAAAAAAGTCCTTTCATTTTACAGTTAAAAGACCAAGTGTAAGCATTTATAAGTGACAATATTCAGATTGTGACCTCTTGCCTAGTTAAAGAAAATCACTTGACACAAATTGTAGAACAAAGCAGATGTTTCCTGTGACCACACTTGAGCAGATAGTTTATATCTGTTTATATTTCTTGGTGTTTTAAAATCTGTGTGCTTGTTTGCCTCCTTGATCTGAAGCCACACTGTTTCTCAGGCAGGGAGCACAGCATTCCTGTCCCCCACACGCAGCTCGCGGTGCTCAGACAGGTATGTTCTCTATACTGTGGGCGCTCGGTAAACATACACACAAAACTGTGCATTAGTTAAAGAAGTAAGCAGCCCGGCCGGTGTAGCTGAGCGGTTGAGAGTCGTAGACCCAGGAACCAAGAGGTCAGGGCATGTACCAGGTTGTGGGCTGGATTCCCCAGTAGGGGGCGTGCAGGAGACAGCCAATCGATGACTCTCATCATTGACGTTTCCATCTCTCTCCCCCTCTTCCTCCCTCTCTAAATCATCAATTTAAAAAAAACACACAAAAACACATACAAACTTTTAAAGAAGCAAACAATGTCTGGTCACTGAAAAACAACCCAGCCATAGAGAACGAGCTATTAAGAGATCTTTACTTCTGGGTAAAACCTGGCAGTCATGGATCTAAAGGCCTAAAGCAAAGTGGAGCCCTTCGGAAATCAGGTCCTTTCCGCATGTAACTATTACAACTAAACTTATCTTTGGAGTGGATCCAGAAGCCAGAAAGGGACTTTGTTTTGCTTTAATTTTATAAGGGTTCAGGAAGTAAGGTGGAGATCAGAGAGTTGAGACGTGAGCATACTGGAGGATTTTTTTAAAAGGCCCATGGAGTTGGATTTACTCCCAGTTAACTTCAACATTTCGATGAGCAGTGAGAACGTGCAGGTAGGAAGGCAGTCAAGTGGACTAAAGCGATTAGCATTCTAAGCTCTTCTCACAAAGCTAATAACATCTTTACATCTTTACATTTCCCTTCCTTTAGGTATAATGTTTCAGATGACAGGCCCAATTGAAATTTTCTTTTCAATCATTTTCTTGAAAATTCAAGATGAACTTTATAAATGTGACATCATGAGCACCATTCCACCCATCAAGGAATGTCGACAATTCACTGTCCTAGTTGCACTACACAGATTATTTTTATCTCCAAGTAATCAAGTTTTAAATTTGTATTCATAACAATAGTTTTTACAGGCACTGTTATCTACTGTAATTCTAATAGGCATGCAATGTAGCCAGTAGCCCCATTTTACAGAAGAGAAAACTGATGCTCAGGAAAGACCAAGTAAGTTGCCCAAGAGAATGGAGCTGCAGCTAATAAAGTGTGAGCTGGGATTCAAACCCAGCTCACATACTTCTAAAGCCCATATTCCTACTATACTAATTTCCCTCAAATTAACATTGTGCAGGAGATATTAACCTTTCTAAGGTACGTTATTAGCTTTACCTCACAGATAAAGAAGCTAAGTCTCAGAGACTAAATAATTTGCTGAGATCACAGAGCTAGCCAAGCCTACTGTCAAAGCCTGTGTCTTCCCAGGGCACTCCCTACGGCGCTAAAAACCACTGAGAGCCTACATCTGATGATGACACCGTTAAAGAAATCATATCAATGCAACTGAAAACATCTTTTAACTTCATCAAAATAAAGACAGGCCCTTTGTATTAACACTAACGTTCATAGAAGCAATGTCATTTTCGTAAGACTCCCTGATTTTCTTCATTATCTCTTCCTCGGCCTTGGCACACGTTTCCACGCTGCCTTTCACGGTAATGGTGCGCTCCGGGTTATACAGCGTTAATTCCTGCAATCTGCAGATCGGAAAAGGGGGGACAGAAAGAGAATGGACATTATGGGAGGAAGACGGTTAGTAACAGTTCAGCCACATATGGTAATTAAAACCCCACCGTGGGGGCTGGCAATATGTAAAAGTGGGTGGTTCGACATGATGAAAAATGGGTAGCCCCAAAAGACTCGAATCCAAGAACTACAAGCTACAGGAGAAAAAACACTTCCTCTCCCACATTCTCAATAAAAATCACTGGGTGTACGTGGTTTAATAGAGCTCATGTTTCAAACATAGTGTACTTCTTGATCACTTAAGGTTTCATAATTTAACAGTGAAATATAAAAATGATTGGAGGGATATAGTTTTAGCAGAAACCAAGAACCTGATGTACAGAACCTTTAATAAGTATGTCCCTAGTCTGCACTGCCCAATTCTAGGCATAACTGGCATTCTCATGCAATTGGATTTTCTGGGTCACCGAGCAAGGAACAAGCATGGAAATGATCCAAAAAGACAAACCAGAGTTCATGTGTATAAACTTCCTCTTTGCCCGTGATTTTAGAATTTAGATCAAAGTAGGCTGGAGGAAATAATATAAACCAGTCCATCTTTTTATTTTCATTTTTCAGTTCTTTGTGTTCTTAAATTTTTCAGCCCATCTTAACTAAATTTAAAAAATGGTCCCTGGATGACCATTTAGACAACTAAAGAATCAGAATGCTGCAGCAATGTTCAGAAACTTCCTGCTCGACCTAGGTCCTGCTGAAGCTTCAAGGCCACTCACTGGCATCTGAGGCCACCGATGCCTGAGCCAGTCCACGGCCTTAAGAGGGAAAGCAGTGGGGCCACTTACGATGGAAAATAAGCACATAGATCGGAAGGACATGGAATACGGGTACAGCTCTCCTTCATTTTCCCAGTTAAAATTCTCGTCTTAATGACTAGCAGAATACCTCATGCTAAACTTGAGAAAGGTGAGCAGGATACTACTACTTTTTTTTATCCAACTTGCTAAAAATGTTACCACCTACACACACTATTTGCCTTAGACTGCTCAAAGAAGTGTGTTTCTAATCTCTGGTTTCAACCCACCTCACCCCTGCTAAGCTTTTATATTAGTTTTTAAAATAGCTGCTTCTAGAATAGCTTTTAAGATTTTTTTTCACTTAAAACCCTCCCCTTTCTGAGAATAAACTCCAAGACAGGGTAGGATCGTTTATAATATTTACCACTTTGTGGTTTTTTCCCTTTCTTGAAAATCAAGCAGGACTTTCTCCTTCCTTGCCACCTCCTTTGAAAACCCCTGCTACACAAACGCCCTGTGCCTCAGTACTGCCCTAGTCCATCCCTCTCTTCCCACCTTTTCTTCTCGCAGGTGCTCTGATGGAAACTAGGGATAGTCACTCTCAGAAAAAGAAAACCCTTCCAAATCATTCCAGAGCATCTGTGGCCCCCAGGTGTGGTAGCCAGCCTCCGAGATGACCCCCTCCCCAGGGACGGGCACTCCTCTCCCACACTGAATTGTAACTGTAGGGTGTGACTTTTCTGAGGCTGTTATAAATCACTGCCGCTTCTGTCCAGCTCTCTCAGACACTTGCTCTGGAAGGAGACAGCTGCCCTGAGGACACCCGAGCAGCCCCGTGAAGCAGCCCCAGTGGTGAGGAACTGAGGCCTCACACCAACATCCAGGACTGACTTGTCATCAACATGAGACCAGAGCAAAACCACCCAGTCAAGCTGCTCCTGAATTCCTGACCCACAGAAAGTAGGTGACCAATAGTTTACCATTGTGAGCTATCAAATGCTGGGATAATTTCTTACACATCAATGGATAATAAACTGGGCTCTATATACACATTTGGGGAGTATGTGTCCAGAAAACCTGACCAAAACTTCATCTAGGAAACATGAATGTAAAGCTTTCAGTGCCCCCTGCCTCTTCAGTGGGAACAGAGAATGCGTTCGATACGGGTTAGAAACAGCCAGTAGACAGTGGCCTGAGTTTGAAAAATGAAGTGTAAGCAAGGTGGTGTAGCTAGCGCTGACAGCCGTCCAATGTGTTATCCAGCTATGCTTAATGTGTTACCTACAGCTGAAGCTGTCTTTGAAAATTTTCTAATTCAAAAGAAAGCAAGGCGGCACTTACGGAGATATCGTGATTTTAGTGGCTGTGTCTTGCTCAATTTTTTTAAGATTTCTTCCTTCCTTACCAATAAGACGGCCTACAAAGTTATTATGGGCTAAAATCTTCAAAGGAATCTCTTCTGTGCTGTAAATAAATTTTTAAAATGGTCATGAAATCAGGTAAGTAAACCTATTCTTGAGTAAAAAGACAATATGAGTTCATTAAACACTTACTTCCCACCTTCATATAGGAAACATTATGCCAGGTAGAGTTTAAAACTGGCTGACCATCAGCCTACATTCCAGCAATGCATGAATGGAGGGCATAAAAAACGTTAACAAGTACTTGGATAGAAGTTAATTTTTAAAAACCGTTTCCTTTTACTCATCTCAGAGACTATCTTCCAGTGATGGAGTCTGTTAGCTCTGACAGCAGCTCCTATTCAAATTCCTATTCCTAACCCCCAACACCAGAACACAGGGTACACATGCGAGAGTGCGGTTTTAGTATAAATTTTAAAACACATACCTGGCATCACATGCACAATTTATACAAGGAAACGAGAAACTCAACAGTGGTTA